GAATAGTGTCTGGTGCTCAGCAAGCTGTCTGTGTGTCTGCTGGCCAGGGAGATAACTACATCCCCCCAGCAGAGCAGTTATGAGGCTCAGAAGCAATCCACATAGCGTGCCCAGCACAGTAGCTGCACATGTGGACACCCAGTCCCTGGGAGCCATTAGAATTGTAATCATTAACATTGTCCCTGGGGCCCATGTGCCTGGTGCAGTGTCTGCTGCCTCTGTTAAGGGGGGATGTGTGGATGATTCCTTGGTGGCCTTAGAGTGGTGGAGGAACTGGGCTGTGTGTCTGCCAGGCATCTGATTTATATCTTCCCTCCTCCGCCTCTTGCCCTGCTCACTTGGAAATCATACATCTCCTCTGTGGGTAGCTGCACTCAGCAGCCGCTGCCGCACCATGATGAATGAGACGTGATTGCTTCCTGTAGGTTACCCAGCAGGGCTGTCGAGTATTCTTCCCTTGCTTCTGCTGGTCCTGCTGATGCTTTATGTAGGTCCTGCCATCTCCACTCCTAGATTCTAGATTCAGGTAGGCCTTTATTCAAACACAGACACTTCTATCTGGTGAGCTTCTTAACTTCTCTTAGGCTCAGTTTTTACATCTGTGTAATGGGAAGAAAATCTAACTTCTGGGATGGTTGTTGTGGGTTAAATCCCCAGCCAGATGACTGGCACACAGTGGGTACTCCATAACTACCTGTACCCTCTTTCCCAGCTGGAAAAGCTCTTGGTTGAGGGTCAGGGGATGGCACAGCTGTGTATTCTGCAGACAAGACCATGGATGTATCACATAAAGCAGAAGGACATCAGAGACCATCTTGTGGAAACCCTCTCCCTCCCCTAATATTCAAACACATGCCCCCCTTTTGCCATTTGGTAAACCAAAGACAAGTAGGTTAAAGTGTTTTTTCCAGAAAGGCTGCAGTCAATTCCTGATGTTTACCCTTGGAGCAGCAGCTCTGATCAATCAATAGGATTCTGGTGAAATAGAACCTGTGCTGTAGGAAAAGATACCCTTTTCCTCTCCAGAAGTCCAGGATGCTCTCTTTACCTAAAGAGCGAAGGAAACTGAATGTTAGTGGGTAAACACTAAATGAACTCTAAGGCAGCAGGGTCTTTGTAAGCAGCTGTTTCCTTTTTTTTTTGTGTTCTCATACTTCAAAAAGGAAGATAAACCAACCAACCAACCAAGAACAAATTAAATATTACACATTTTGGTTGCTGAGAACTTATCTCTCCTTAATTCCAGAACTGCTTCTTATGTTGATGTGTTCTCATACTTCAAAAAGGAAGATAAACCAACCAACCAACCAAGAACAAATTAAATAATACACATTTTGGTTGCTGAGAACTTATCTCTCCTTAATTCCAGAACTGCTTCTTATGTTGATCCTGAATGATTACCTGACGCATCCATAGGTACTGGGATAGTGAAGTAATCCAGTCTGTCAGTAGCTCCTTTATAAGGAAATGGACACATCATTCCTCACCACCCTCATTAGTTGTCGTCAGGCATCCAGAAAGAGAATCTGGCCTTCCAAGCCTTCACCTGGCTTATCAGTGCTGTTCACAGGAAGGAAATCCATGCAGATTTGGAATGCACTCAGCTGCAAGTAAAGAAAACTCAACTACATTGGCCTAATCAAACAGAAGTTTGTTTTTTTTATGCTTTTACCCAGACTTGGGGTGGCTGGTTTTGAAGTCCCTATATTCCCGATTCTCCTGGGTCATCCCCCTAGTCATTATGTTCTGTATCCGAAGGAAGAAGAAGGGAAAATACACTTGCCAACTCCATCTACCAATCTGTCCCTTTATATCAAGAAAACCCAAAGCTTTTTGAGCCTCCCTATACCCCAACCACAGTAAACTTCTGTTATTTGTTTCCTTGGCCAGAACTGGGTCCCGTGTTTATCTCTAGCTGCAAGCTAGTCTGGAAAGGTGGGGCACAGAATCATAATTGTTTGAGACCAAAAAACTTCTCCAATTGGTCTGAAAACTCTGCCATTCTGAACTAAAGTAGCATTTCATTAGCAAGGAAACAGTGGGTCGTGGGTGTTAGGCTGACAGCTCATGGTGCCAGCTGCACCTCCAAGTCAGGGTCGCCAGAGTCCATGATGTTTTCTCAACGGCTCATCAAAATCACAATGAACTCCATGCCTGGAAGGCACTCTGGTCCACCTTCAGTGTCTACTTCCAGCTCAGGGGTCAGTGGTCGTTTCTGCTCAGCATGAACTGAAGGCCTGTGGTGGGCTTGGATGTGGGTGTTAGGCTGACAGCTCACGGTGCCAGCTGCACCTCCAAGTCAGGGTCGCCAGAGTCCATGATATTTTCTCAACGGCTCATCAAAATCACAATGAACTCCATGCCTGGAAGGCACTCTGGTCCACCTTCAGTGTTTACTTCTCAGCTCAGGGGTCAGTGGTCGTTTCTGCTCAGCATGAACTGAAGGCCTGTGGTGGGCTTGGAGCTGTGAAGAGAGTGGTGACATGGAGGTGACCCAGCCAGCTCTGAAGACCCCACTCACTGGGGAGATGGGCATGCCAGCCAATGACTTCAATATGGTGCCATCAGCTCTCAGACACCAGTCCCTAAGGAGAGGAGAAGGGGCTCTTTACCCAGGCCGGGATGAACGGGATCAGGGCCCTGGAGTTGTTGAAAGCTGAGCAGAGTCTCTGCGATTGACTAGGAGGAGGTTTGTGAAGCAAGAAGTCACAATGATGCCACAACAGCTCTGACACTTCTTGTGCTTACATGTTTGGAGTTTGTCACTACATTCAGCCCATGAGCACCCTGAAGAAAGGGACTGTGACTTATCTATTACCCATTTTTGTGTTCCTAGTTGTAGCTCAGTGCTTGGAACATATCTGGAGCTCTGTAAATGTTTCAGTTTGAATAGATGAGTTAATGCAAAAATAAATAGATCATTATCCAATATGTGGAGGTATTGTGAACAAAAAGAACAGGAAAGTGGCTTATAATTATAGGCTAAAAGGGGCTTTGGATGGTAATCCTACCTCCTGCCAAGCAGGCGTACCCCAAGGGCCCTGACATCCTTGGGAAGCCTGGCTGGAGGAGGCTATTTTGGGAGCCATCTGTCCTGACTTAACCAAGTCAACTATAAATTGTTCCTTCAGCTTCTTGAGTGTCTGAGGCTTATTGAGGGCCCCGAAAGGGAATTTGTGGGTTGTTCTGGGAATGATTCCTTAAAGAAATTTGGGCCAGTTCTACCATCTTTGAAAAGAATTTCCATCTTTTCTGTATTCATGGTCTTGCCCATCTGAATTTGGGAATGAGGCCTTCCCCTGGGGTTTTTTGCAGAAACATGACTCAGCGATGCGGTATACTCTGAGCTTGGCCTCCAGAGATTTGCTCGTAATCAAGGATAGAACCTTTGAGTCAACTCATTTAAAATTTTAAACTCATTTAAATGACATGCAACCCCAGCCTGTCTCCCTGGCGGGCTGCCAAGGTTAAAGTAATTGATCGTCACTCCACAGCTGCCATGGCCTGGGCAGAGCTGGCTAAATATTGAGCAGCGCCTGCATCCTCTCTGGTATTTACTCCTAGTCAGACAGTCCGGTGCTGTTTCCAAAATAACCCCTCCCATGGGGCTGTCAGACCTGGTGGTGCCTTTTAGGATAAACATTAAAAATACCTCCTTTCAAATTAGGAAAGATTTCATTTGTTCCTCCTCACTGCTGATGGGTAAAGGAGCCCCAAACCATCCCACACCGAAACATTTATGCCCCCAATACAAGAAGAGGTCATTGCACATAGAACACATGGGGTGCGTGATTATAATAAGCATGTGTGATAACTGAATGGCTTCATGGGAAGAGCCAAGTCTACAGAAAGGTCAGCGAGGTGTGCCAGCTGCCAAGGTTAAGAGAGTGCCTCCTTACCCTAGTCCCAGGGCTACTATAGGCTTGATCTTGTCCCATCCTCAAAGCAGCCCATTGACAAGTGTGTGTGCTTTAGGGTCTCCCATGCCACAGAGGCTCACACTGAGACACAGAGTTTAAGAGGCTTCTACAAGCTACTGAGCTAGTTGGCAGCAGAGCCAACACTTGGGCCCAGCCAATTAAAATTCAAAGTTAGTGCGCTTTCTGAGATTTTTATTTTTTGTCTGTTTTTTGGCAGATGGCCAGTACAGGGATCCGAAACCCTGACCTTAGTGTTGTTACAAGACGTTGACCTCTTTCTGAGATTTTTAGAGACTGAAAGAGTCCTTTTCCTTTCAACTTTTTTTTTTAAATGAGGATTCATGAAGACTTTAAGATAAGACATTTATTTAATATAGTGTAGTAAATATTGTTTGGTTGTGTGACCTACTCCACTGCTTTTGTATAACTGAGAAGTTTTGCTTCTCTTGCGATTTGTGATCTTCTGCGATCATACCTGAAGCTCTGGAGGGCGACACGTTAGGCACCTTTCTGGCTTCCTCAGGGACACAGTTTCAATTTCATGGGCACCCACTGACTTGGCATTTTTATGTACATGCTTATGGCTTTGTGAATGAGGTTCCCTCTGCCTCTATAACCTTTGGTGCTTTTGTCTGTCTGGCTAAATGACACTGTTCCTTTAAGAGGAATCTTTCAGGAAAGCTTCCCTGTCCTCCTGAGCCCAGTTAGCTGTGCCCTGAGTCCCCCAGCAACCTAGACACATTTTTATCACCCCTTACACTCTGTTGATAATGTTGAATTCCGTGTCTGACTCCGTCTAATGGATGAGGCTGTGAGTTCATTGTAGACAGAGACAAAATCTTGTTCACAGTTTATGCCCAGTGCAGGGAGCACAGTATTTGCAGAGTCGATGCTTAATAAGTACATGAGTAATTAAAAAACTATCGAGTGTGGAGCTGCCAGCCACTCTGCATCTGTTCCAGGTACTGAACACCTGACATGCCATAGAGGTGGGTAGGGAGATAGTTTGCTGTCATATTTCACAGGGTGGCTGTGGGTCACATTTTCTCACTGGTCTCCATCTTCTCTTGCTTTTCCCAGATGTGCTGTGCCCTAGTGTCCGTGTAGAAGGAGATCGCTTTAAGCACACCAATGGAGAAACCAAGGAAATCACGGGTAAGAGAGAAACAGCAACCACACATAGCTTACTCTGCTGTACTTTTCCCTGCACCTGAGCATGACCCTGGTCCATTCTGGGGAGGCCTCACTGACCCTGTTCTCATTCCCATCTTTCTCCAAAGTCCTTATGGGATGGTGTGGACTGTACAGGTGGCAGCTCTCATCCATGAACCTTCCAATAGTGAAGAATATTCGCATTTCCCATTTGGTTGGTCCATTCTGGGGAGGCCTCACTGACCCTGTTCTCATTCCCATCTTTCTCCAAAGTCCTTATGGGATGGTGTGGACTGTGCAGGTGGCAGCTCTCATCCATGAACCTTCCAATAGTGAAGAATATTCGCATTTCCCATTTGGCAGGCTGTGGAAATCCTATAGAAGTCACTAAATAATGCATTAGAATGAATGAGTTTGTAAAGGGGTTGGCAAATAAATAAGCAAAGGATTGGAAAGTGAGCAAAATAGAATAAAGAAATGTGTTTGGGCATGAAGGGGAGAGTGAATCAGAGTTACAAATACATGAGTGAATCAGTGGGTGAGAACACAGAGACACGTGACTGCAGACCCAGCGGCAGAAAGAAACACCGCAGTCTTGTCAAAGGCTGTCTCTGTATGTGACAGAATGGAAGTGCTGCAGCAGCATGTGGGGGAGGCTGAATCTGCTGCCCCTTATTCTGATCCCCCTCATCCTCCGCATCCTGCATTGTCTTGGGGCCAATTCTCACCACATGTGTCTCCATCCCAGGCAGAGAGCCACGTGAGGTTAGGATCAGGTGTTTGGTGTGCACTGCCAGTTCCCTGTCTGCATTCCAGGGGCCCTGCCACGTCAGTGTGCCCCTGATGGCTTAAAGATGCCAGCCTCTGCATCTTTGTGCCTGAAGGATGTTTCTAGAATCATATACAGCTGCTCTGCCTGTGTGCACAGCAGGTAAAATGTGCCAGGGAGTTAATAGTTCTCAGGAGCAGCCCTGAACTAGAGAATACTGGTTCTACCCAGCTCTACTGTTCCTTGGATGGGATTATTCTGAGGTCCACGTCTGACTCCATTTCCTAGAGTTTCCCAGCAGGATCCAGGGGCAGTCATCTGCCAGGGCAATTGACTTCCTGCATTCTCTTTAGCAGCTGCTTTCCTTCCCTTCCTCCTGCTCCTACTCCCCTATCAAGCACCCGCCAAATAAACTACTAGCAGTGTTGGATAAACCCCCCAAAAGATAGTGTTATTCATCTCTTTTCTCCCGGTAGGATACCTGGTGTATAGTTGGTGTTCAATGAGGTATTATCGCAATCAGGATTTCTCTATCCAATTTATGATGTAAAGATGACTTTCATCTCCATCACTTTAACTCATTTACCTTCAAATAAGTATATTTATAGCTAAGACACTTTGCCCAGGGTGCAAAGCTCCTGGGCAGTTTGTCATAGACATTCCCACTTTCTGCCTCGATGATCCCCAGGCTCTTGGATAATCTATTATTTATTCCCTTGAGCATGGATGTGCCTGGCCACCACCACTGCCCCAGGACACCCCCACTGAGGTTCTTGCAAGTAAATTCTTGCTTGGCTCCATTACCTACATTTGGCTTTATAAGCCAAAAGTTCTTCACAGCAGTATCCCCAAAGTAACTCATTATCCAGCACATATGTCTGTAGAAGGGAATAATTACGATAGTAATGCCATTGATAACAGTAATAATAGTAACAGTCAGTACCTACTGAGCACGTCTGTGTGCCAAGAGACTTGCATGTGGGCACTCACATGCGGGATGTACTATTACATATGTATTTTACAGTTGGGGAAACTGAGGTCAGAGAGATTAATCAACTTGCCTGAGTTTGTGGCGGAATCAGTATCCATATCCATGTCATCATTTAGCGAAGCCTACGTTCATAACCATTTCGCCACAGGGAGTGGCTAGTCTTGGAGTCAGGGCTGTGCATTACCTATTCCGGGATAATTGATTCAAAAAAGTGAAGAAATGAAAGTCATATTTGTCCTAAAAATTGGGCAACCTGACCCTCATCATCCAAAGTCAGTCTATTTCCCTACCATAGCAGTGAAAAAATAGGCTCTGATGCAATAGAGAAACCACCAAACAGATTCAGAACTCGGTCCCAAAGACCGGCCACCCCAGACAGGCAGCCTGAGAGGGGGGACACAGTACTTCAGCCGCTACTTGGTGGATGGCACAGCTAATTTAAGAAACAGCTACTCTCCCTTAGCTTCCACCAGGTAAATCCAGCCCACCCTATCCTCATCTGGAATGTTATGACATCCCTGTAATCAGAATGTCAACTTCTGGGCCGGCCCGGTGGCGCACTGGATAGTGCGCCGCTTGGGAAGCGCGGCGGCG